TGTGTGTGTGTGTGTGTGTGTGTGTGTGTGTGTGTGTGTGTGTGTGTGTGTGTGTGTGTACACTGCTCTTCCTGGGCATTGATAGTGTGTCTGCTGAGTGCTGGGCAGAGTGAACAAGTGAAGGAATACTTATTGATTTTGGCCACACATCTCTTCTTCTCTGAAAATCCCTTGATTGATTTTGTTCTGCTCCCAGTCTCCCTCTTTCTGTCTCACATCCTCTAATGAAAGTCCAAATGAATTGGAGCACGTACTGACTGCCTTCTTGCTCTTCCACTCCTCTCTCTGAGTTCCTTCTGCTCTCTTGTTGTGCCTATCGCTCGCCTTGATAATTTCTCTGTTGCTTTATCGTTTCTTATTTTACGTCTCTGTTAAATCTTTTTTTACATGTTTTCTTTTGTCTTTTTTCACGTATGTCAAAATGCTTCTACTATACAGTATTTTAGTTATTTGTAATGCTTCCCATTTCTGTTTTGTTCCTCCTTTTCGATGCATCACTAAATCAGATTTAAATGTCCTCCATGTTTTGATCCTTTCTTGGTAAATAGGGGTGTCCCGATCCGATATTGATATCGGATATCGGTAATGCAGTAATTATAAAATGTTGATGCCTTAGTAAATGTTGGTTTCTTTTTAATTACTGTTATGAACTGAAGAGATAAACTTCCTAAAGACAAACTTTTGTTAAGTTTTTTTTTTACTCATTCTGGGCTTTTTATTGTATCTTGTACCTTCTATTGTACCTTTCTCTAACATATCAGAACATCAAAATGGGAATTAAAACAGTGTTACGCAGATGAATCTGAAACAGTAATGTTGCGTCGCTAACAGTGATGGTGTCGTTTTTATAAAAATGAAGAACTTGAAGACAGAGTGTTGTGTGTCTTTACTCCATGCTGCTTGTTTCTGGTCGACAAAATCTGAGATTCATTTGAAATCCATCCCTACAGTTTGCCCAGAACTCTCCCCCTCCCTGGGGACTTCATTGTTCTGGCTCATCAAGTGTTCATCCTCGTGTTCTAGATCCACTCTCTGTGCACCTGAGTCTGTGTGTACCCACAGTGGTGAATAGATTTACATTCCCACCATTTTTCCCCAAGGCCACCGTTGTTCCGCCTCATCTGATGTGTATGTGTCTGACCTTTGTGCCCTCTTCACCATCCAGGGGAACTGGAGGAGGAGATGGAGAATTCTGAGATGGCGGATCTGCCCGAGAAACAGAAACACCAGCTCAGACACAGAGAGCTGTTCCTGTCACGCCAGCTGGAGTCCCTACCAGCTACGCACATCAGGTACATCGCAGTACAGAGCACAGGGTGACATCTTTAGCTTCAACTTGTCTGTTTTGATAGGACTGTGTCTTGAAACTCTCATATCCACTTAACTTACTCAGTATCCAAGTGGACTGTGACTGTTGGCCAACAGCGTTCATGAGAGTTTCCAAAATGTCTTGAAAAGTTAGTAAAGGTTTCAATTTACTCAGGTGATTTGCCGAGTCTTGCAAGTTTTTTTGCTTGAAATTTGAACATGTTCAAAAACAAGTCTCCACCCACTGGGATACTGACCCGATTGCAAAAAAATTAAACATACAAAAATATATCCTGAAATTCATCTAATGTTTGTAAAAGTTTACTCTGGTGATTTCTCAGATATGTTGATGTACAATTCTAAAATGTTTGCATGCACTCAGTGTATCACTGTATATTGCCAACGTTCATATATTTTCATTAGTTTGGTTCTTTTTGTAGGTAAACAATCTCACATGGTAGCTTGCTACTGTTCACAAATTTTGCTTATTATTTTTATTTTTTTATTTAAGGACATTGAAAGAAAAAATAAGTGAGGAAAATAGATGGATGAATGGATTAATATTAAGGGAAAACATGTATTTTATTTTATTTTATTTTTTCTTGATCAGTCTTCATGACTTTGTGATAATACCTGTAATAGGTCTGTCTTTTTATAATGGAGTCAGTAAAACTAAATTTGACAAAAAAAAAAAAGAATAAATAAAAAATAGGGGTGCACTGATATATTGACCAGCTGATTTATTGGCGCCGATTTCCTTACTTTTGGGAGATCGTATATCGGATGATCTTTAGATAAGATCGCTGGAGAAGATCAGCTTTTTTACCTCCACAAAAGTCTGAAAATCTGCCACTATTCTCTTTTGCTTTACAGTGAGCACTAATCCAGTTAAAACAAGTTTGTATTGCTTTAAGGGTATTGTTCAAAGTATTTCGTTAAAATATCATTTGAACATTGAAGTTGAATTGTGACTTTTTAACATCTGACAGCTATTTAAAAATTCATTATCGGCCAAAATCAGAATCAGCAGGTCAGACTTTTTAAAGATCGGAGATCGGCAAGAAAACTGGAATCGGTGCACCCCTAAAAAAGAAACCTTCTCATAGGACATGATATAATACAAGAAATATAACCAAACTGAACAGACCATTTTGTAGTTTTTTGAGCGCGTGTGCAGCGAAGCCTAACTCTTCTAGGTCACAGGTCAACTGAGAAAATGCTGAAGTTGCTATGAAAATGTCATGGTAATTTTGCAAATTCAACAAGCTCAAAAATGCAGATTTATAGCTTACGATAGATATTTATGGAAAATCTCATCTATTATCCTACAGGAAAGTGTAACCGAAATTAATTTAGAGCAAATAACATCGGGTCTGTATAATGGTGTAAATTTACCTGTTGAATTTGTGCATTGTGTTTCTATAGCAACCCCAGCTTTTTCCCAATAAACGTGTGATGTCTGCCCGCTTCGCGCATGCACGTTTGTGTTAATTTCTAACTACAAAATGGTCCATTAACTAAATAATTTTCATTAAAATAAATATAAACTCAGAGTTGGTTCTGAGAGCTGCTGAACCTTTACTTTCTTAATTAATTTTTGATTAATAAACAAAGAAAACTTGAATAGTATGGAAGCTGTCAATTTGTTTTTTGTTTGTATAAATGCTAAAAAGTAAAATGAATAAAAATCTGGATGGAAGTTTAATTTCATCAGATACTCCTGTTACTGACAGAGCTGATTGATACAAGAGGTTGTGTGTTTATGGCATTAAAAACATAGATAACTAAATAAACATCTTTATATGGTACTTAAATCTTAGGTTGATGAATATTTTAATTAAAACTCATTCATTTTACAAAGAGGCCATTGAACAGATGCAGTGTATTAATTACAGAAGTTGAGTTTTATGTACATAGAAAAAGAAATCTTTTTGAACTAAGCTATCAGTACCATCAGTGTGTGAATGTGTGTGTGTGCATGAGTGAATGTCTGAAGTGTAAAGCGCTTTGGGGTCCAAGTGGACTTGATAAGGCACAATATAAGTTCAAGCCATTTACCATAAGCTGCCAGAAGTGTCCCATTGCTCTCATGAACTATGTTTATCTGTTTATCTGACAGTTATAGCTCTTTTACTGTAACTGCAAAACAACTTGCTGTATTTCTTTAAAGCAGTTCAAGGTCTGGTTTAATACTCCCACAGCAGCAGAATTTAGAGAACTTGTTTCAGTCCTTCACAAAAGAGTCTCAAGTGTGTTGACTTCTAAATGCTTTCAGTATCAATTTTACTGAGGATCAATGATGTGAGCTTATTTTAAAAGCATCAGATGTTTAGAAAGAGCATTCTGACATTAACGACTTGTGAATGATTGAAACAAGTTCTGTGAGATCTGCTGCAGTAATGAACCACAGCTCACACTGATTCAAAGAAAACGCTAGATGCTTTTCAGTAGGTAAAGACCCAGTCACACCAGAATGTTTCAGACAACTTGTGAACATTTTGTCGAACACTAAAGATAGCTGCTTTGAAGATGAAATAAAAATCTACTGAAAGTCTCTTTTAGTCGTCTACACACTGTAGTGCGGACGATTAGATTGAATATGTAACCTGTATGAATAATTTAGTCTGCATAAGTTGTCTCACATTATAGTGTGACCGAGCCTTAACTCAGTGAAAGTCTACCCAGATATAAAACAAGAACAGAGGCAGTTCTGACGCACAGTGAGGTTAACATTTTTTCCCCTTTTAACAAATAATCAAACTTTGTTCTCATCTTTTTGACTTCAATCTCAACATTGCGAAATAACACAAGTGTCAAAATAAGAAATTAAAAACATTTTTCTTCATTTTTTTGCTTCTAATTGGTCCTAAATCCTGTAATTATTTTTGAACATGTTAAAACAACCTTATAACACAAAGAATTTAGGGGGAAAAAACACACACGTACAAAAAAAACAAACAAAAGACAATACACACAGACAAGCACAAAAGTCAAAACTAAAGATAATTATATAAAAAATGACACAAATCAGTAACTAAATAAAGAACTTGCCAACGTTTTCTAGTATCTCACTACTGTGACTGTTGGAGACTAGTTGGTGCATGGCCATTTTGAAAAACATGTGTGCAATAATTTATTTTTGTCTTTATTTCAAACCTTTAATCAAGAAGATTGAATCCTAAATGTGAGAGCAGCTGCCAAGGTGGGTATGATGCGTGCAGAGATGGGTACAGCTGTACACACGAAAATAGGCTGTGATTTTCAAAAAAACTGGCCTTTCAAAACACAACCACACGACTCACTTGACATTTGATTGCAAACATTCAGCCTTAGTGCGACTGAAACTGACAATTTGTCCATTTTCCCACAAATTTGAGACACCATCTCCACTCCAACAGCCACAGCCCAGTGAGCTCCCATCTGAAGTCATACCTGTTTTTCTGTTTTTAAATGTTTCTTCTCTCCTCTGTCTTCTCTCTGTATTTTGCCCTCCTTTCTTTGGCACTTCCTGTCTTTCCCCTCCCATTTTCTTTTTCTGACATTCTCACTCAACTCCAGAGGAAAGTGCTGCGTGACGCTGCTGAATGAGACAGAAGCCCTGAAGTCTTACCTGGACAGAGAGGTATGTTGGGACCCCCCTTCAGGGAGCAATGAGCACACAGATGATAATGAGAGCTCACTTTCTTAGAAACAAAGTGTTATTTAACAGCTAGGATGTATGAGCCCAATGTACTCAGTTGATGCACTCTTCATCCGTATGTATCCATACACGGTACTGTATTCATACTACTGTATGTAATGAATGGCAGATTTGTGTTGGTTAAGAGCTTGCTGATATGACCTAAAGGAGGAACTATACAGGTCCTTCTCAAAAAATTAGCATATTGTGATAAAGTTCATTATTTTCTGTAATGTATTGATAAACATTAAACTTTCATATATTTTAGATTCATTGCACACCAACTGAAGTGTTAAAGCCTTTTATTGTTTTACTATTGATGATTTTGGCAAAAAAGTAAAGAAAAATAAAAAAAAATCCCTATCTCAAAAAATTAGCATATCATGAAAAGGCTCTCTAAACAACTTATTAACCTAATCATCTGAATCAATAAATTAACTCTAAACACCTGAAAAAGATTCCTGAGGCTTTTAAAAACTCCCAGCCTGGTTCATTACTCAAAACCACAATCATGGGTAAGACTGCTGACCTGACTGCTGTCCAGAAGGCCATCATTGACACCCTCAAGCAAGAGGGCAAGACTCAGAAAGACATTTCTGAACAAACTGGCTATTCCCAGAGTGCTGTATCAAGGCACCTCAGTGGGAAGTCTGTGGGAAGGAAAAAGTGTGGCAGAAAACGCTGCATGAGAAGAGGTGACAGGACCCTGAGGAAGATTGTGGAGAAGGGCAGATTCCAGACCTTGGGGGACCTGCCGAAGCAGTGGACTGAGTCTGGAGTACAAACTTCCAGAGTCACCGTGCACAGGCATGTGCAGGAAATGGGCTACAGGTGCCTCATTCCACAGGTCAAGCC